CCGCCTCACACGCCGCCCGGGGGCCGCCCGTGAGGGCTCCGCTCTGCCCCCCCGCCCCGGGGAGAGGCCATCACGCCCGGGGGCCGAAGGCACTGCCCGGGCGCTTGCCGCTCTCTCGATGAGGTGTCCCGGGTCCAGGCGTGCCCACCCCGCGCTCCGTGCATGGCCGGGTATCCCGCCACCCCCTGTTCTTTTAACTTGCTGCGAAGTGTGGTGGGGACCTAAAGGGATGATTTCGACACGCGTTTTGCCGTGAGTGTCACACAGGGCTGTGCCATGCCCTCCTCCACAGGGCACATGCCAGAGAGGACAACACCAGCCTGGCGAATGTGAGGGGAAAAAAAGGTAAAAGCCATTATTTTAAGAGATTTATTTTATAAAATATTATACCCAAATACTCTCTGAAAGATTATAAGGACTCTGCAGAGAGGTATATGACCATGTGGACAGGAGGTGGGTTGACTACCAGACATCTCCGTGCTCTGTTGTGGTTTTTTCCAGTTTACAGAGGTACAACCTTGAGAGTGAGGGTGCACCCCAACTGCTGGTTTGAGGACAGTCCTCAAACTTTGTACACAGTTAACTTTGCTGGAGTCTTTCTTCCATCTCTTAAAATCTCCACTGTATTGTTTTGGAAAAAACCTCTCCGTTCACTTAGGTCATCACATTTGGGAGCAGACTGACTTTAGGTCCATGAATAGAGAGGAACTTTGCACACAGAGGTGACCTTCTGGTCTCTGCACAGATTTTCATCTTCAGAACCCTTGCTCAGGTGCCAGCTAGGGACAGAGCTGATGTTTAAGACGTGAAGTCTGTAGTTATGTTGTGAACGTGTCCACATAAAGTACAGGCAGCCTGTTCTCAACAGTAAGTGCAAGCACTCTACAGGACTGTGCCTGTTGCACCACACTACTTGCTGATGCAGACAAAACCGAAGTCTAGGATGAATTCCAGACACTGGACTTCGACTAACCTCATCTTCAGAGCCCATTGTGCTTAGGAAATCTTAGTACAAGACTACTAGATGGGCCCTGTGGAAAGCAGAAGTGTTGGTTGCAAAGAGCAATACACCACTGATACAACAGTAGCATGTTTCAAAATTTTATGAGACAGAAAAATCTCCAAATAATCAGACAGATACTAAAAAAAAATGCCAGTATTTTTTATATTAGTCCTGTCTCCTGCTTTATAGTATCCAACGCAGTCTGGCCCTATTGTGCAAAAGTTCTGCTTTAATGACACTCTGTGTGAGGTACTCTGCCACATTGTCAAGTCAAACCCAGATGCCTGCTAAGTTGCTCTCAGTGTCCTGGCTGTTGTAGATACCATTCTGGAATGTCAAACTCTTCCCTAAAATATATAGGGAACCTAAGTTTGGAAATGAATACAGTGGAAGGTTGTACCTCTACCCAACAGTCTACTTTCCTTCCCCATTCCATACCTGGAGGGGCATAATGTACCTTTGTTCGCTACTCCACCACTACTCATTGATGGAAGCTGAATTCAGTGTGATGTTTAAGTTAAATGGGCTGAAGAATGGACGTGTCTTCTTGTGTTCCTAAACAGATTAATATGACCAGGGCACCTCGGGGCACAGGAACTTGAAAGAGCTCCTTGGTCAGCTAATTTCTTTTTGAAGCACTTGGAAATTAAGTTAATGAAGCACCATGGGACTAGAGGCTGAGCAAAAGCATATCTTCTCTCTCAATTAATATTCCAGAGGGATTTAATCAATCCCAGTGGCTGATGGCCACACTTATTCAAGTAAAATAATATGGAAAGGAACAGTGAGGAAACTGAGATGTGAATATTGTCAAAGGTTTGGTGCTGTTCAGTACTCTGAAACTAATTGACATGCTTACACTACTTAGAATCTGTGAATTACTGCTTTCAGACATTTTATATATAGTCTTCCAGTGTGCCTGGAGCTTGGACAGGACATTATGACCCTTAAATATGCAATAGCAGCAGCCAAAGGGCATAGGAAAGCTTTATTCAAGAACAGATTACAGTCATGATAAATGTATAAAATGTTATGCTTGTTCCTATACAGAATTGCATAGGTCACTTTGCAGGCAAAGCCATTTCACTAAACCAGAAACATTCAATAAAGCAGAAGCAGGAAAAGTTAATGCTTGTCCTCTCTTTATGCTTTAATAGAAAATCTTCTACTAATCAAAGTACTATAAGTTATTTTTCTTATCTCTGAGCTGCAAGGAATATTTTTTTTTTTTTTTTTCCAATTCATCCACCTGAAGAAACAAACTCAGGTTTTTTTAGATGCAAATCTTAGGCAACGTTTTGGTTAGGATTACCTTCTACATATCATTAATCATGACACAGTTTTCCCTAGGTCCAAATGAAACCAATTTCATGTGACTATTTTAGGTAGGATCTGCAATTGCAAGGTGTTGAGGAACCTAGTTGTATGTTAAGGTGCTGTTCAAACATAGATACAATAAGATCAATTTCTGTGCTACTTGCTTTTGATATACCTGCAGGAATCAATTTCAGCATGTGAAAAAAGTTGTCACATTAATTTACTGCAAGTAGGCTTACAAACAGTTGTGGGAAGGGTTCTTGATGTACCTACTAAAGGCATGCTGTGAGTTCACTCAGGTTCGGGATTTGGGGAAAGGTGGGGAGAAGCTCTCTCAGTGGCAGTTTTTGCAGTAGCCTTTCATTCCTCTGAGTCACAAGGCTAGTTTGATAGGTGATTGGGTCAGAAGCTTCCAAACTCTTGCCTAGACCATAAAGCGAAGAAGGTCAAACCAGTTGGGTCACTTAAAATGCACTGGACGAACAGCCAGTTTAGTGTGGAGATAGCACCACTGTAGTGTCTGAGGAAAGCTTTTACATCTTGTGTTTGCTTATAGCTGCCAGTCTTTGTTAGTTTAAACTGTGAAAGAGTGGATTTTCTGGTGACAGGCTGGCTGAGAGTTTATGTGCCAGGGTTTGGGGAGAGGTTAACAGGGGACATCATGGGGGTCATCTGCTACTAACTGCTCTCTCAAGATGAGAAAATGGGTGAAGTCTTCTTTAAACAACTAGAAGAAGTCTCATGATTACAGGTCCTTCAGCATGGGAGTGGGGAAGCACTAGAACAGGCTGCCCAAAGATGTGGTATATAAATTCTTGGAGCTTTTCAAAACACCTGAACAAAGCCCTGTGCAACATGATCTAACTTGGATGTAGCTCTGTTTTGAGCAGGAGCTGGTCTGAATTGACCTCCTGGGATCCCTTCTAACATTTTTCTATGATTCTGTGATTTTAATGGAGAGCTGCTTGTAAATTAATATGCGGTCTGCTTTGTAAATGTTATACTCCGTGTTTCTGTTACAAATTTGCAGTACAGATAGTGAAATGAAAAGACCTGCCTAGCTCCCAAGGGTTCTGTAGGATTAAATCATTTATTTTGAAAAAAAGTAAAGAAATTAATGAGATCCAAGTCTCTATTATGCTATATAACCACTCACTAATTAAATTGGAAGTGTTTCTGATGGAAGTTATTGTTACATGCTTCATGAATGAATTAAATTAGATATATTGTTGTGAAGTGTCAATAGAAGAACAGGAAATGAAACCTAGAAGACTTTTTACCTAGAAAACTTTTCTTACAGTTTTATCTAGCTTCCTATTTTGAAACTCAAAATACCAGCTTCACACTTTTTTCTCATATAAGATATGCAAATAATAAGTTGGTTTATAACTT